TTCTGATTGGGCTTTTACCCTGATCTCTTTAGATGGGCTTCCTCTCTTGGGCCATTTGAATTGAGCTGAATATTGTGTGTGTCAACAATAATATTGGACAATAATTTATAATTATATTATTATATTTTACACGTTACACCCTTTTGCGTTTAGCATTGACATTTTCATTAAATTTAGATGATAGGTGGATAATTCTAGGCGTCGATAAAGACTATGATAATTCAAATTTTGCCACAATTATATTTTACACGTTACACCCTTTTGTGTTTAGCATTGTCATTTTCATTAAATTTGGATGATAGGTGGATAATTCTAGGCGTTGATAAAGATTATGAAAAATCAAATTTTGCCACAATTATACACGTTTGACTTTACGTACGGAGCTAGTTGTTTAGAGATCATTTAAGAATTATCTGATTAATATATTTTAAAATGTTTTAAACAGTAAATTTATTAGTGAATGACAAATATATCACTATAATTCTAAAAACTATTATCATTGTATCCTTAATCCTTCCATATAAATATATAAATTTTTTATTATAATACACACAAATCTATTGACTTTTGTTCTCTTTTCTCCTCTCTCTTTTATAACATAAAACTCTTTTTTTCCTTAAATTTATTCTTAATCATATATTTTATGTAAAATATAATCTTTATCAAATTTTCAACTACATATTTCAGTAATTTCATCAAATTTTATTAAAAGTTACTAAAAATTTGATTCTTTTTAAAACCAAATAGGGGCTAAGTTTAGTTTTGAGCTACTTTACGTTATCATAATCAACGTGCCTTCGATAGACCTTTGTTTTACGTTTTTGGAAAATTATTTGGAATCAAATGTGATCCTTAAAGTGCGTAGGTGGTACTACGATCACACACGACCTCAGCATTGTAATTTGTAAAAGTATCAATTTTTTTTGTTATATACAATAATTTTAAAATTTATAATTATTATTATTATGTTAGTTAAAGGAAACAATATTTATGAAAAAAAAAAAAAAAAGAGATAGCA